TCTTATACATACACTATATGGTTAAATCTATCATTTGTGTATTCCACACGGCTTTAACAAATGCGAAATAAAGACTTTTGGCTTATATATATATCCCTAGGATTAGATATTAAATATTTTCGGTACAATATACATATCTTACCACTATCAAGTTCTAGGTGTTTACATCGCCTTCGCTATATGGAAACAAGATATCGCGCGAATAAAACGTATGTTATCGGCGTTTCTGAGTTGTCAGTGCAGTTGGCGGCAGCGAGAGGAGAGCAAATCGCGAACGCGGAGTCATGGTTCTTGTAAGGATCGCCAATCTCATACACACTTAACGACTTGAATCCACAGCTGGTCTCAAGCCATTAGCCGGGCTTGCCTTTAGATTTCTCATGGACTCAGGCAAACGCTGGTTTTCTTATGAGCTGTAAGAAGCGTGGCCAGGTAGAAGTGAAGGCGTGGGTGTCCGAGTGGTTCCCACGGTAAGCATTATTATATTTTGTACCGCAGGATACTAAGTGTTAAATTATTCCGGTGTTCTTGCTGCATTAGTTACCTGGCCTCTCTACCACAAAACCTGACAAAGTTTGCAACTATCCGAAGGCATGAATATAAGACGCGAGATTTCTCCAAAAAATCTTGGATATGCAATCAGCAGCGTATACAATAGGTCACTATCCGCTGTGAAGCGCCGAGTCGTTCCCAAGCTGAACGTTCCAACGCTTCCATATGTGAAGATAGTGATGCTGCTTGCCATATATCGCGCCATAAAGACACTAACGAGAGGAGGAGGAGGAAGCGGAGTGAGGCTCGTTTGAAACAGATCGTCACCGAAGGAGACTAACGAGTGAAAGTAAAAATATGTAAGGACTCAGCAACCTTACAATTGTAGATCTCAAAACCGAGATATATAGTAAAGGTAGGTTAGCCAATAAGGTCAAGAAATCCTGTCCAAACATTGCCAAGAAGGTCGCGTAGCGAGCGAGACCGTGTTCTCCGGTGCCTATTTTGATCCGCTAAAATTTGTATTGAGAGAAACGATCTATTGTTGTACTGCCGGAGTTCGACGTACGTGGACACAAGCAAATAACAGAATAGACGCTATAGCGTTGAAGGGAAATAATGAAATCCAAGCCGAAGTCTGCGGTGAGCGTATCGTTTTAATCTAAATTCAGACAAAAGGTATCACGCAGTTTTTGGGTCGGGGTATGTAAGTCTGTAATCATAGAACTCACATACAAGTTGATAGTGCATTGTGATAACAATTTACAACAATGTGCCAGACGCCTAAACAATTGCTATGACGTATCGTGCTAGACAAAAACATGTCAGAAAAGTTTACACGATTTCAGTCAGAACAAATGCGATTCTTCGCGAGCTAACATTGAGTTTGTTTACAATACGATAATCAATTAGCTAATGCAATATAATCTTGCTAAGTGTTAATCAAAGCGTGATCGTATTCATGCTTAGCATAAAAAAAACTTATAAAAAACAGAAGAAAACATTCATTATTAGGATGAGGAATAACCCATAAAGCAGTAGAAGGAAAAAAGGCGAAGGCAGTTCAACTGTCGGAGCCCCTCACCCGTTGTAGAACCTGCGCATCTACAATTGGAACTAGTCTACTTAGATCGCGGCGCACGTTTCTGGCTGACGCCCGATCGAAGTGAGTGAGCGACTGTTGGCAGACGGTTTCCCTCTGCGAGGATGTAGACCAATAACAAGCGATTCAAGCGTCCGACAGTGAGCCGAATAGCTAAACGCTTTCTTCGTCCATTGTCCCAATAGAGACGGAGGCCAAAAACGAAGTGCATTCATTGTTTTGTGGCACAAATCGGGTCGACTGGATTTGGCAAGCAATTTCCCGTTTCTACTAACGGTAAAATATCTCATAGCACATCGTCACATCTCTAATAGCAAAGGCAAAAGCGAGAGCAAACCGGGTAAGGCCAATATGCTTCGTGGCCTGTTGTGCTGCGAGTGTAGAGTGTATTGCACGTCGGCGACGGAGGCTTAAGTCTGTTTATCTTCTTGCCAGCCCACTTTAACACTAAACGCGACGCTCTGCGGAAGCTACAGTCAGCCAACTAAGCAACGATTGTAAATCGCCAAAATCTGCTTTCTTCGCGGCTTACCTGAACGTAAAGCTGTACACGGCCGCATAGCGGGGTCTTTTCAGAGGACAACAGCATTTGTTGCCGGTTTCGCGGCTTTATCCTCTCCCGTTTGGGGGGCAAGTAAAATATGCGTTTCCATTGTGACAAACGGATATTGTTATTTCACAGAAGGTCAGGAATTTGTATAAATACAGAAACAGGGTAAGTGGTATCCACGTTCTATGCCAGATTCACTCAAGCACCTTGACGGATTTGTGCAACGCATGAAAGTGTCTTGTAATCTAACCGTGGAAAAGACAGAACAACCAGATTGGAAGACTGTTGGACCGCATTTTAAGGCCATAATCACTGCTATAAGGTATTACGAAATTAGCACCCTAACTGTATCGACAAATTCTGCTGTAAGCTGTGTTCCCGCCATACTTGACTGATTAACTATTTAGCAGCCAATTAATCATGTGCAAGAAAAAAAACGGACCCCTTTATGGGGTATCGTCTTTTTCGTTGCGTTAGTTATTCAATAGATGAATCACCGGCTGGGATTTCCGTAAAGATTTGCATATTCACTAAAATAACCACCCAAATCAGTACCATTAAATCAGTACCAGTTCTATGAGCGGTACGTCGTCTAAAGCTCGTCCACAGTTCTATATGCACTGTAACAGGCTCTCATCGTTATCAAGTTAATGAGCGCCCGTGGGCCAATGCAAAACAAAGTAACGTATTGTTTATATAATTGTGTCTACAGTTTGGAATTTTTGAGAACGAACGCATAGCACGGCTGAAATCCCAGTAATATTTAAAGAAGTGGCTGTAACTAGACCCAGGTATTTGATAGCAGGCTTAATTTAAATAGCGTACGCCCCAGGATAATAACTGGAACCGAGATTTCAATGCCCAAAATACAATAATGTGTTTTTATAATAAATCTGTTGTCATAAAAATTATATAATGTGTTGTTTAATAAATCCGACCAAAACGAACATACGTTTTCTGTAAAAGTGCTCTGACAGTCTTTTGGGATAGCAGCTTTTTCCGGTCGTCTTTGGCCGCTGCATACATTGCTACGTTTTTTACCATTGATTTTAATATTAAGTTTTCAGCATGAAATGCAATTCCTAACTTCCCAAACTGTTTGAACAAGCCTAAGTGTTCCGTTTCTAATCAAAGTTTGCAGGCCTGATTATATGTGATTTTTTACTACTTTAATGATAACTCATAAGCTATAGATAATCTATAAAATTTCAAAGGGCACCTTCGACATGGCGTTGAGATCTGAACAATTTTCTGATCGACAAGTTGACAAGATTGAGAAAACAATGGTCATCTGTGGGAGCAGCGTGCACTAAGTATAGCTTATGGCAGAGAATCTCCGACCTTTGCGTTACAGCCTTTTGTTCTCGTCACCATGATTCCTGTGGTCTGAGATCAAACAGTATCGGGCAGTAACAGTGCCTTAGCCCTCTTCATTATTCTTAGATGCCTACTCTTTGCCACAATATTCTCCAGTTGTTAGTATTACATTTCAGTCGTACTCCAATAAATCAGGCCTCTGTAGGAACAAAGCTCTAATAGATAGCGCCCGCACCAGGCGCCATAAGCTATTGGTATATAAATACAAGTCGCAGCGTACTAAAGTGCGTAACGTCGTACTTTTTATCTGAACATGGATCTCCGTCTGTCTGTCCTTTCGAACAGTTTGCAGCAAGCGTGGCTCCTTCTGTCGCTTAACAGGCTTATCAAAGCCGGTTCCTAACAATCTTTTCTCTTCGGAGTTGCGGCATAGGGGTTGGATTAGATTGATATAGGTATATTTCGGCCTTAAGGACCTGTTTTATATGCACGCACTGCTATATACGAAGCATAGATTCTAAAAAAGCCATGTGCATTACGTCATAGACTAGTGAATACCTATATTAGCTGCAAGCACATGCCTGTCGCGTCACGAGTATCAATGTCAGATTTTTCCAATTTCGTCATTGGCATTCATGTAGAACTGGTCTATAGGCCGTTAGAGTGAATCGCTGATGTCCGTAGAACCTTCGCCTCATACTTGATATAAGATACGAGCCGGTTTTGTTTGGCGGAAATTGTGTTCATAGCTATATCCTAATACGATCAATGGTGGCGTGACATGTTCGAACGACAGGATGGTGATATGGAAAGAAGATGTATAGATCTCACTGCATGGACATTCCACTTACGTTGTCTACAAGGCAGTCATCTACCGCCACATGTCTCAATCTCTATGTGGTTTTAGGATAATCTTATTATTCTGTAGGACGAGGAAGTGGACTGATCAGAGAAAGAGGTACAGCATAAGCAAACGGTAATCGGTGAGCAGACTCATTAACTTAATCAATGACGGTAATAATAAGAAAGACTGACCGGCGACTTTTCGTCAGTGAATCGACGATGATGTTACTTACATACAACAGATCGATTTTTGTTCAAAAAAGCGTTACAGTACGATGCCATTTTTTTTAAAGGATGTATTTTTGTTCTATTTTATAGTTTCTCATAACCAAACAAAGTTCTATGGCATCAAAGTTACACTACATCCATTGAAATGTCGCATGACATATTGCACACTACTCGACTCTGATCCATGGTTTTAGCCATGTAAAAATTTCTGGAGGTGAGCGAGGTAAAAAGAAAACTTTTGTCGTTTCATAAAGTATCGTATCGTCTGACATTTCTCCCGTTATAAGCACAAGTAGCCACATAGGTAAACGACCGCGACAGACATTTAAACATCTATTTATTGACTGTCAGGCAGTTTTTGGACCGGCATAATGTTTAACACTCTATTGTTTACGTGGCAAAACTATATATTTATATACACCGATGCAAATGCGGTAGAACTGGGATAACTGAATGATCATCACTTACAAGAAGAGTTAAAGAAGCGTCCTTCTGGGCAGAACATGGCGACGACCTCGCCGGGGGCTGCATTCTTCCAGCATAAACGGCCATCCCATTCAGCGGCGCAGGCAACCCCCTCAGATGTTGCTGATACGGCAACATCGCTGCTGTTCAAAGCTGTTCCAACGCATAACTCGGCAGCCGACGCAGCAATGCCCAATGACCCTGTTCCGACTGACGATGTCACCGCAACACCGGCAATCGAGCTAGCAGTACGGGTCGATCCATATTCGGAGAACAGGGCATCCGTGTCCTGAAAGTTAACATTAATGCAAAAGTATATATGTATGTGTATTTAATGGTGGCATACAACTGTAATATATTTCGATCGGCAAAAGAGGCTGCCCTTGCCTAATTTGTCCCTCGTGAGACCTTTGCCTATGGCATGAGGTGCTATCGACCATCGTTCTAAGCAGAGCTTCTTTTGCTCTCCGCTTTTTAGCCCAGACATTCTTCCTTTTTGCCCTCCTGCCCCCTTCTTCCGTCGTGGCTAACGTCGGAGCCTACCTGGTTCGAAGCAACTCCTTTTGTCGAACGTGCAGTTCCTACAGGCGGCAGCAGTTGGATCTTTGTCACAATAACGAGCTGTCACCACTTTGACGCACTACTTGTACTATGCCCTATGCGTCACATTACATACAGCCGCGGTATGTCGAACGCGCCCGTGAATCAGGGCGTATCACGCCATGTCCGAACCACCATACTACACTGGTGACATTGGGCTGCCTTGTTCCCTTCGAACACCTTTGTCTGCGTTTTTGAGGATATACTTTAACTCTGAGCGAAGACACTTTTCATTGTAACAGTAAATCGCTCAAACGGCTATGTTCGAATATAAATTGTATATAAGTGACTGAGAGAGAAAAAGCTCTCGACAGTCTTAGAGCCTGTATATTTCGCCATAAACGTACACGTAGTGATAGTGACAAACCTAGTGACTTGTACAAGGTGCAGCCTGAATTAAACCGGTTTAGTAGTACATCGTATAGAAAAGTGTAATCCGAAAGTTTCTATTTTAAAAGCGAGTTAGCTATATAATACGTAATGCTGCATCGTTATATAATTCGTATAATCTATAATAGGCGTTAACAGCTTAGATCTATGAATGACGCAGGCAGACGTAGCGCGTCTAGGGAAACGTCAAATATAGGGTGGCAAGGATCCATCGTATCCATTTGTGCAGCAATGATTATATTACGCTGTTCGCCGCCCTTTAAATGAGTGAAAAATGTCCAAGGGGATTATGATCCGTACGACTGTTGTGAGTTTTACTATTGTCTTTGTTCATCAAAAGCTTCATAAACCCATAATCGGTCGTATTATAGGGCTTAACGTCACACTAAATGTAGCCGGGTGAAAACGTAGCGTTGTAACGGTAAGCGGCTATCATCAGCTCAGACACGCTCGCGCAATGTCATCCTCTACGACTTACATTTTGAGGTTCCGGGCGTACGTTTGCTATACGTACTATCACCATCATATATATATATATGATATTGTCACCTCTGCTACAGGACCTCGTCTAGGAGCCAAATCAAGGCTTGACCAACCCAGTTTCTTACTTCTGCGCACGACGTGTTTCAAGACTTGAAGATCGCCTCAATATTTCTGGGGTAAGGAAGAGCACAGCAAAAAAGGTCTTCTTTGCGGACAAGGAGACGGCGCCAATGCAACATCTCAGGCTAGATGCCGAAAAAAATTGTGTAAAAAACTATACTATGGACATTATCTTAGTTAGTAAGTATAACTGTACGAAAATTACTGCTATGGGCGAAACTGCAACGCCACTTGTCACTAAGGAAATTCCCCTTTGTTTTAAGCTCGTCATGCTATTACGTAATATTCAAGAACTTAATATTATTGTGCCGGAAAAAATGTTTATATAATATAGCATGCGTCAAGCTAAAATTCAGACATTTTATCGGCTACCGTCTGAGTGCCCAGGGAACTAATGAAATGTCCAAGCTAGTTAGAGTTACTTTTTCCGCTGGAATTCAACTATTTGACGAAAATCCAAGGAGCTCACTAGCATATGTTTCAATTATGAACTAGTACTTTTTAGTAATACAGTGACATATAGTAGGTCCTAGCACAGCCTTAACAGTCCTATAACGCAAACAAATCTATTACCGCTTTAACACAGCACTACATGAAACAATTAAGAAGACCTAAGGCGCCGAAGGACACAAGCGTTTATTCTAATATCGTACGGGAGCTACTATAGATGCGCAGTTGTATTTTTCTCTTCAATTAATATACTTGTTGAATGATGACGGTGAAAGCTGGCATTTTATTAAGGTCAAGAAGAGATTTTTTTATTCAACACTAGTTTCAGCGATGATGACCGTATGATTATGCTTTTCTTTTTACCCTGTTTTATTTAATAAATGTAACTGGGTTATTTCATTTCTAAATTAAGCTTTACCACAGAATTGTTACGCAATGCCCAAGGTACAGCAGTGCATTTTTTGCAGTGAAAAATCTCTTCTACCCTAATAAGAGATCTGTGCTTTATATCATATTTTCAGCCAACTTAAGCATGTATCGCATAAAAAGCATTATTAAGCAAATTCATATATTGTAATGATGTCAACGACCCGAGAATAAACAAAGGTAAATCTCGTAATTATTATATTTAGTTAAAATTTGACAATATCTTTGCCGCTTTCGATTTGCGCGCCAATATCGCTTGAAGTCTCACAGTTTGAAACCCTAAACAATCTATCTATTGTAAAGAACAAGCGATATTTCTAAACAGCTAACAAAAATATTTGTCAACTTCTTATTGAAGCATCGTTCTTTGTCTAGAGAGCTTCTCACCTTCGATTGGTTATAGCTCATCAAACATAAGTACATATATATATATATATATATATATGGTTGTTCAGAGCTTGGAAGCCATCGAAATTACAGGAACTGGAATTTCGGAAGTATGGAGGCTAAAACCATCGTTCAACTCGTGTTTACAACCCCAGGTCGTAATTGGCGCGTGGTCATGTATTGTTATTGAATAAGTAGCTTGAATAGTGTGAATGAGCGCGCCATAGATCTCAGAAGCTCTAGAATCCGTGACGCCTGGCGTCATTGACCGTTTCGTAATGGCTGTATCATTTAATGATAACTACTGTCAAAAATCTTTTTTGCATTTCTTTCCCATCTACAGTGCTTTCGTTACAGTATCATAAAGCGTACTTCGAGGCACGCGGTGCCCGATCATAGGAATCCCGGTTCCGTTTGAGATCCCGGGGTTCTATATGCTCTTTAAAACTTCAACTTTTATTCTTGTAATTCGTCGATTACTAACGAACTGCTGCTTCGTTAAAGGTCTCCTTGAAAGCCTAGTGTTCTTAGCAGTCTTCGATCTATATGTATAGGTTTAAGGTTCTAACTTTTAAGCTATTGTGTAGAGTCAACAGGTAATATTTTCCTGACTGCGCGTATCCAAAATAGTATACCCAAAAGACCGTCATACAAAAACCTAATAAGTTGTCCTGTTGCAAAGAACGATAGATTTTCGATTTGAAAGGCGGTAAAAAAATTTAGAAGGAATATACAGATGGGTGTTCAGTTTATGAAAAATTTTGATGATTGACTTAGTAAGTAAATCTGCATGCTATATATATATATATATATAATGGTTATAAACAATAGCACACATTACAAGGAGTTTGCTTGCCCTCAATGGCAAACGTGCGTAATCTATGGGCTGTTTACTTGATTTATCTCAAAATATGCAAACCCCTTATTTTATTTATCACAGTCACAAGCATTTCATTATTGAGGGTAAGCCAATAACGTCCTTTCGTATTATACAAAAATAAAGAGAAGACCGCTAGATTGTTGTGTGAAATATCATAGGGCGATCGAAACAAAATTTATGTCGCACGACTTTCTTAATATACAAATTATTTATCGGATCATGGTTTAGACCGTTCACAGTAACATTGATCAGCTTGTTAGGCATCTGTCCTTAATTCTACTTCTACAAAAGTAACGCCGCAAGCAATGTGCAATTGTTAAAACATGGCAACAGGTTTTCTTGCTTGCGACCGTAGGTGCCTGCTAAGATAGGATAATGTGTCTTCAAATAATAAGGCGGCTTGAAAGAGTATCCGACGTTAAAAACCGTGTGATGAGAACCGTTTATCTTCTGACCAAGCAACTTCGCACAGAACCTGAACTCTGCATAGGAACAATATTGACGGAAAAAAGATTTAAAATGCAAAATTTACACGTTTACTGGGATTGAAAACATAAGAGGTATTGCCTTTTCTCGTATTAGATAATTTCATTATGTTTGTTCAAAGAAGTTTTATGACTCTGCTATAAGTTTATCCGGTTTCCATCGTTCTCTTATATCGTTTTTTTTTTTTTTTTTTTTTTATAATATCAGGCTCAGGAAATGTTTTATTTTTGCTGCTATGTTTCCCTATAAAGCTGAGCGTCATTGGCACTGATATATACATTTCTATTTATATTAATAAAGTCAACCCTGTGCGCGTCAATTGACATAGAAACGTCTTTCCAACTGATCGGTATCTTAATGAACGTTGGCGCAGGTGAGCCTGACAGTGATAGGAAGGGATGAGCCTACCAAACACAATGACATACAGGCTATTGCCTGCGAAAACTTAATATCAAAAATCGCAGGTACAAGGTGATTAGGTAGCGTCAGATAAAGCCAAGCAGCGCCTAACACATGGATGCATCTCTATGGCCATCTACTAAACGCTAGAAGAACAAACAAGATCTGTAACACATATCATATTTGTAACGTCCGCCAAATGCAGCTCGGGCTGCAGTGGAATGGCTTAGACCTGTATTGAACCATCGCTATTATTTTGTTATTACATAACAATCGAAATAGGATCAAAGACATGTACGACATTACATATATGTAGCGCTAGATTATACTCCATTAGAAAACTGTATCTCTGGTCGAGTATATACAACAAAATGACACTTACATTAAACCAGAACGTAGAAAACAATGGTACTTTGAAAATGAGTCAAATGGTACGTCGAAGACTAACCATTGTATTATGAACAGATCTGACCTAAGCTCTAACAGATACCATGCTAACTAAAAACCACGTGTCACATGTCGTTATACGTATATGGTAGCGATTATGATACTGTCTAGGGTGGAAATTTGTCTAGGGTGGACAAAAGTTCTACGACAGCTTGGGTCCTGTAGAAATATCAGTCAGTACCTAATACTTTTTCTATACAGTTCAGTAAATGCCCTGTTAG